ATTTATGGTTTCCCACCTCAGCATGTACATCCACAAATAGCATTTTGAGATGTCAGAGACATCGATCTTGCAATGGATGTCTCATAGTTTCTGTAACGATAAGGGTACACCATATTCTTAATTTTAACATTCTTTTATTCCTTTACTCAGTGTTCCCATTGCAATGATGTTGCATTCGAAGAACCACCTGACTCTATTTACTTCTTTCTGGATGTCTACTGACTTAACTGCTTGCATGAATTTCTCCTCTTGACAGTTTTGGATGATGGGAATTTTCAATTCAGACATATGTCTACTCTGTAATTACTGTTCTTTTCCATTCAGAGCATTCTTCTACCAGGTAAAGGAAAATGTTTTGCATTGTTACCCTGGCTACCTGTTTAATCATCATTTTGGACTACAACTGATAATGTGTCTGACAGTCCAGGTTTATTTTCAGAACCCGCTCTTTGCTGCAAGTCAGTTCTTTTTCATGCACTTGTATGGCAAGTAAGAAGTTATAGAAGACTATTCTTATAAATATATTGTGTGAATTTTGATTATCATTTACTGAAGCATAAATTATATTGAATCTTGTTATGAACTAACCAACACGATTTGTACTTCTAGCTCCAGGAAAAGTTGATTCCTTGGAAGAAAGTTTTCTACATACTGTTTTGAAGTTTGGTAAAACAGAAAATAAAGAAACAACTTGTGATGTAGCATCAGAGAAAATTGAGGTAATTAAACTTTTTACAGTTGTGTTATTAAAGAAAATGTGTAGCTGTAATTATGTCTTTCTGGAATTTGTTTGTTTGGCATATAATCAGTAATGACGTGTTTGTAGTTACGAGCTGAAGAAATTCACTACAAGTTTGATACATTGTTGTGAATAAACTTATTAGAGCTCTTGTTACAGTAGTAATATTGCTAGTCCAGAAGTATTGTAGTGCACACCAGAATGTAAACATGTTTTAACAAAATTATATAATAGGTTGAACAATTGCCAAGTTTTATATTTTAATTTAAAGAAGAAATAAGTTTTGAGCTAGATCTCTTCATCAGATTATACAGCTTACAACGTGTACAAAATTCAAAGACACTGCATGTGTAGTATTTGGAATGTTAAACATGAAATGTTTGTACAAAATTACATCTGTTACATAAAAATTATAAACCATGAAAAGATAAAATAAATAAAATTCAAACAAAAAATGGTAAAATCCACAAGAAAATTCTACAAACAGATCTGTGGAGTCACTATGGGGGACTAAATTTTCTGCTCTTTGTTTTTTATTTCCACCTCTCTTTAGAATTTACTTAGGAATATCCAACACAACACTCCCCTTTCTGGACATTAACATATACATACAAGATGACCATCTGACCACTAGTATACATTACAAAGAAACACATTCACACACGTACCTACATTAACCTATACATACAAGATGACCATCTGACCACTAGTATATATTACAAAAAAAACATTCACACACAAACCTACATTAACCTATACATACAAGGTGACCATCTGACCACTAGTACATGTTACAAAGAAACACATTCACATACAAACATACATTTTGAATCTTCCCACTCGTACAGTATCCAAAAGTCAATTTCTTAATATTTCTATGACTACATAAACTACATAGTGATGATAATCATTATAAATCTGAATCCAAGGTGAAAACTTGTTTTCTAAATGGCTCTACCTTGATTCTATCATCCATTATGCAGCTTCCAAAGCTAGCTCATAAGCCCAGGAGCAAACACTCAACCCTACCAAGAAATAATGAACCGATCATATTCCACATGTGTTAACATACCATCAGACCGACAAGAAGATCAAAGGTAATATACTAAACAATTACACAATACTTAATGAGGACCCTACCACTAAATCTCTTTTCAAGGACACACCCATTATTTCTTAAAGGTTTGAAAAAAATCCTGGTGCAGAATAATGACAAAAAACAGAAAAGGAATGTGAGTCGTGAAGATAATGTTGCATTTGTAACATATTTTATTAGTTCTATAGTTAGTAATATCAATAAAAAAGGTAAGGGAATTGGGCATACTGAAACATCTGATAAGCCTGGTCATTTGTTCAGCATTTAGACTTGCTTATCATTATCAGAAAAATCACTGTTTTGTATGTAATCTGGGGCTTACAAGAAGTGTTTAGAGAAAAATGTAATTTATAATGAAAAATATATTGGAAAAACTGATAGACTCATAAATCATTGGTGAGATTAGTAGAAGTAAGGTAAATCTGATCACCCTTTTAGTATTAAAATGTAAAGGAAATGTCATGGTTTCCTGGTCAGGAATCATTGGATCTGAGAAGGCTTCAATTGACAGGGATAAAAATGTACCACTTTAAATGGTGGATCTTTGTATATTTATATATGAATGTTTATTAGGCTGGAATATTCACATGAGTGATTTTTTTGGTATTTGAATATTTTATTCACCACTATTATTTTCGTGAACATTTATTACTTTTTGCTTTGTCATTGTTGATAACATAACTGTATAACAGATGATTTCTGATAATTCATTGTTGTTATTTCATATTATACCATCTGTTTTGTTCTGTTAAGACTGGATTTAACTGTTCTGTATGGTGTCTACCTCTTGATAAAGATATGAGTTCTCACATTGAGGAATTGAAGAATTTTCATTGGTTACTGGCTGTTAGTCTTCATAAAACAATATTGCTAGTCCACGGGTGTTTCCATATAACTTACTTTCTACTAGTTACGTATGAAAACCTCATCAGCTGTTTATAAAAAGAACCTAATATCTTGGATTTTACTTCTGATTACAAAACTTATTCTGTGTTGTGTCAGCCATAATATTTACAGTATATTAGTGTTTTATATTAAATCTATTCAAAAGCCCCACCTCATTGTTTCATTCCATGGATGTTGATGCTTTATTTGTGTGATAGCTGTACTTCTTCTCTTCAGCTTTACAGCATATGAGTTTCCACTGTGGAAAGCTCCTTTGTAATGCTTTAATGTTCTGTCCTGCATTCCTTTCATAATACGTATAGTTTACCAGTACCCATTTCAATAGTAGCCGCTTCAGCTCCCACATACCCCATATTTAACATGGTTCATCTGTATCTCACATGTAAATCATCCTGCAAC